TTAATCTAATTTAATAATTTAATAACGGACAGGCCAAAGGAAATCAAGCTTGGAGGCATATTTCATATAAATGATGAGCAAACCGATAACATTGAACAGCTAGAGAAATTAAAACATTTTAATAATTGGAAAATTATTGAACAAAATGACTTAACACCATTATTTACGTTATTACCAAAGAGCCTTATATCAGAGATACAAAAGGTTAACGGAATGAAAATATTATATCATAGTAATTTATCCGTTCATATGCCAAAAGGCCACAATATTTTAATTCATCATATTCAAAAACCTTTAGAAATTCAAACATTTAATAATGTTAAGATTTTTGCCTCCGTGATTGTATTGAACAAAAAAAGACCATATCGTAACGTGTTTGTAGTTAGGGTCGAATATAATGATGACGAGAATCCATATATAGTAATACATCGTATTGGACCGGCAAAAAAAACTTTTAATATTTTCATTCCTTATATGCTGGTCGGTTATGAGGAAGAACTACCAATTGGAAAAATTCAAGATGATGCAATTGCACATGTTTGTACTGAAAAATTTGTATCTGACGGCAATAATACAATTAAACATCCAAATTTAGACGGTGATTATTGTTGGTTAGGTTGTCCTATACTAAAATGTAGGGAAAATCCTGGATATGAATTTGGAAGATCCAAATATGTGATTAGTTATCATTTCTGCCGGCATGATGAAGAAAATGACACTACGCAATTATGTTGCTATGGTTATGATGCCCAAACCGACAAAATTAACAATAACGAAGCATTAACATTTGAAGTTAATTGTGCTATCTTCACAAAAAATACTTCTGAAATTGAAGAAATTGTTAGGCCAACCGAATATGAATGGAACAACAAAGAATACACCATTCCACCATTTCGAGGAAGGCCTAGTCGCACATTTACCGGAAATAAATGGGAATTATTTGAACACCCAAAACCTATATTTGCAAGTATTCAATATTCCAATAATCCAAATAATCCTCTTTTTTTAAATATCCATAAGAAATATCCGATAGCAAAATCTTTGAATAATATTCCTGACAAATCACGTATTCCTATTGGTTATATTGTAATAGGTTTGGGAAATTGCGCGATTAAAGCTGATATGAGTTTAAAAATAAAAAGGGATAAACCTTTACCACATTCTTCTATTAAAAAAGAACATGAAGAAAAAAAACTATCAAATTCTCCAAACATAATTAGAAATACAAAGATGGATATTGATCAAACAAAAAAAAATCGAAATTCACGGCCTAGCGCGATTAATACTGATGTGAGTTTAGAAATAAAAAGGGATGAACCTTTATCATATTCTTCTATTAAAAAAGAACATGAAGAGAAAAAACTCTCAAATTCTCCAAGCATCATTAAAAATACAAAGACAGATATTGATCAAATAAAAAAAAAATCAAATTTCACAATTTGTTTCTAATAAAACTGCAATAAAATTGCTCAAATTAAATCATGGCTTAATTATTCATCCACAAAATATGTTTTCTGCAAAAAATTCAGCATATGACCTTAAATCGGAACTAAAAATAAAAGACATTGAAAAATGCTATGCAAAAGCATTGGTTCCCAAAGATAAAAAAGAATTATTTTTATTGAAAAAGCATATAGATATTAAATCATTTCAATCATTGCCGTCCAAATTGATTGAAATGATGTTGACTTCTACAAACTTTTCAAGTGATAATTCATCTATAGATGACATTTATCTAGAAATTGTATATCCAAAAATTGAATTTTTTTTTGAAAAGAAATTAATGCAACCAACTGATGAAATTATAAAAGCAATGATCGATGCATTAAATAATAAACGACCATATCAAGAATTAATTAAAGTATTCAATATGTATGGATATATCTTGCCTCAAAAAATAATACTTGGAGAAAAGTTGTATAATGCGTCACATTTTGTCACTCACAAAACAATTAATTCTGATGAATATCAATTGGAAATTGAAGAATCATCTGATAATGGTTCATTAAAATTAGATAATCTCTTTGATTTGTGGAAAAATGAATATGGAGTGAATATTAATTATTTTATGGCAACAAACAAGGAAGCAATTAGTAAAGATATTGTTGCAAAATGGATAAGCGCATGTTCTAAACACGATTTTGAATCATTAAAAGTTATTAATCAAAGTGAATTATTTCCATTATATGAAATGTTTGAAGAATCCATTAGTCAAAAAATAAAATCAATTTTGGAAAAGGCAGATAGAAAGCAAGTACTTATGTCAGGGATTGTACAAGTTCATGATAATAAATATTATCATATAAATTTTTCCGATAAAATGGATAGTAGCGAATATCAAGTTATTGCAAAGATTACAAAAGTTGATGAAACTAATAGACAAATAATTGCTGCAGTTGATGAGGCTATTGTTGAAATAAAGTCTACAACTAGAACTGGATTTTTAGTAATAATTGAAAATCTTGACAAACTCAAGTAAGTAATAGAATTAAAGGTTTAACTTTCATAAATCTAATACTAATTATTATATTTTTATAAGCGTAAATTCCATGAATTTGCAACTAGTATGGATGCTAATTGGATTTCCAAATCGAATTAATTTTTATAGCACCAATACCCGAAAGCTATCTATACTAAATGCAGGAACCAAAAAAGTTGAACAGAATCAAGAAGACTTATCATTAGAGATTCCAAAAAACACTGAGCCAAGTTCGCTAATTATTTTATTATACGAATCATCATTACCTATTCAACTGAAAAATAAGAATAGAAATAAAAATGGCAGTATTAAATTAAATATAGATTATAGCTTACTCAATAAGAATAATGAATTTGAAAATAATGAACCTACAAATAACGAATCCAAAAATAATGAATCCAAAAATAGTGAATCTGAAGATGATGAATTTGAAGATGATGAATTTGAAAATGAAAGTGGTAAATTCGAAGATGAATCCGAAAATACAGAATTTGAAATAAGTTACTTTTTTATAACGGATACGAGGATATCAATATTCCTTTAAAAATAATCGGCCTTTCAATTAACTGATTTATCCGAAAAATTTTTACGATAAAAAAAGGATTAATTAAAAATATCATTAACTAACTTAGCAATTTCTTTGAATTATGACAAATGTGTTTATACCACCTGAGTCAACATATAATTTTGTATTTCCATCTTATTTTATATATTTCTTATTTATTTTCGTTCGCCACACACATAATGAAGTCAAGTTTATGTGATTAGATGAAGTGCAATTGGGAAAAGCGAATTGTGGCTAAGTATAGTCATCGATTGCAATGAAATCTGGTTAAGATGGAGTGGAAAATAATCGGAATGGCAAACTGAAAGAATCATTTTTCTTAATTACTAAGATGAAATATACGTATACTCCTTTTTCCTCTCCAAGAATGTTAAAATTTTAATAAAGATTTTATCACATCTTCTAAATAATATAAAGAGATTTTCGCCCTTATTTTTATAACAGGAATGGAACGAAATGAAATACAGTAAATATACAAAAGAAATTTTTTCAAAAGAAGAAAAATTGGTTTCTTTAGTAATATAGCAAACATTATATTGTTACTCGGCATGAAGTGGCCATTTTGTTAACTAATGTTGATAACCATAATATTTCAATTACGCTTTATTCTATAATAATTTTGCAATCTCAGTCTAGTTAGCAATTATAGTATACAGGTTCGCGTTTTCTGCTCTATGAACTCACCGCATCAGTATCGCTATCAAAAATTTCATCACTGCTACAAAAAAATTTTTTGAAATTAGCTTATTTAAAGTTTATTCTGTACTAATCCTAATCGTCCCTAACAAACTACTCACGTTATTCGACTGCCCCTAAGAACTGCCCATAGACTATCCACGCCACACGATATACTCAAAGGATCACAAGATGATGCTAACTTCCACGTGATGTGATCTGGGTAACCAACTAATATGGATTATATATAATATAAAATGCTTAGATCGTGTATTTATTGCAATAGGACAAGAAAATGTTTATCCAGAGTTTGCAATTTCGCGAAATAATTAATAATTAAATATTTATCAAATATAAGATAATCGATTAGAATGTCCTTTGTACACTTAATTATATGAATAAAAATGGATGTAAAAATTTTAATAACTATGGGGTATAAAGAATAAATCTAACTAAAAATTTCAATAGTCCGAAGCGTAGCATTATGACCAAATTTTATGGTGAAGTACCGTAAACTGCTGGTTCTTGTATCAGGGTATTTACAAAGACTAGAGATATACCTGATATACAGTGTGTCGTGTCCAATCCAAATCATTGGATCTTGGACGTCCAAAGTATCCAAATGTCCAATTTTGCCCAATGCGTTTCTCGTTCAACTTTGCCAGCCTTCAATGTTTACACCAGCTAGATAATTTTCAAAGTATAAAGATGCTATATAAAGATGTTATTCTTCGAGATACGTAGTATCCAGATATAAATCAAATTTTTATCCGCAGAATACCTCGGATACAACACATGGAGGGTATACGAATCAGCAATTTACGGTATTTTAGCTTCAGACGTTAACGGCACCTGTTTTCCTAGTTATATAAATGGGTTAAAAATAAGTATAATAACTACCGATTCGTTAAAAACAAACCGGTAGTTATAATAGCTTTTTTTAAAAAAAAAATCAGAAATGCGTTATTCAGAGAAGACTAAATATCATAGCTAGAAACGATTAAAATGGGATAACTTTCATTTTAAAAAATATTATTTCAGAATATTTATATGTAAAACATTATACGATTCTTTAATAAGTGTACATTATTGGACAGACGACAAAAAATATCAGCAAATTGTTTTTTGTTGTACGTACGTATGTTCAATAATGATGTTATCCGATAGTTAATATGGCTATGTGAAGTTTTTTCCGTGATGTTTTGTTATGCAAAAAATTCACATGATCATATGAAATGTCGGATAACATATATTATTCCAAAAAATGTTCATATTTATTGCACCAGTAATGTTAAGACTGAATTGATAATCAAAAAGAGGTAATTTTGTATAAGCATGCTAAATAAATTTAGGAACCGATTATGGTATTTTATTTAATAAGGTAAAGCGAGTACAAGCGCAAGATATTTATATTTATTATCATATGATAATTATATGTTGAGTTTAAACTTGTTTGGAGCATGAAAAAAGGTAATACCCGATGTGTCAAAGGAAAATTACATATGAATCTGCATAATTTAACTTGTATGGATTATCATAGTACGTAATTGTGACTATACCTCGTTTAGAAATAGTCTAGAAATGAATATTCTTTATGAGGAAAGTGTTTCTGTATTCTGAATTACTGAAAAAGGAAGATTTAAAAAATTTTCATAAATTTATTAAACGTAACAAACAAGTTATGGTATCAGAACTTTGCCAAAAGTAGAATTTGACACAGAATCTGCTTTCTTTACGTGGAAATTTTTTGAACATTCTAATTTTCTCTAAAAATAACAAAAACTGGACACTTCGAGTATTGAATAAACCATCTCTCCATTATTTATATACGCCTTAAACAATTACACATAATAGTAAATGATTACAGTCAAACCTCCCTAAATGCAACTTGTAAAGATCAGACTCTTAACAACTTGCATTTAAGGAACAATATGAATAATTGTACTTATAAAGCTTAATATATATTCATACCAAAGTTGAAGTTACAGTTAGAGATATTGCATTTAGGAGTTTAATTTATAGCGTTCTGATTGTATTATGCATTAATTCCTTTTTGCAAACATTTGTAAACAGAAAATTACGATTGAATATAGATGGAGCATAGTTTTAAACAGGAAAATTAACGTGTTATTTTTATAAAGATCATTATGAATCTACTAACCTACTATTGGGAGAGCAAGCCTCTTATTAATTATGATCATTATAATTAATAATAATACGAATTGCTAATGCCATTGGGCTACTTCCTCTTTTTTTCATCATATATTGTAGACTATACTTCGAATATACTGTATGCAGTATTATGTATACGTTATGTATACGTATTTATTTTTACATTTTCACATGATATGGCGCTATTTAGTTTTACGTAAATAGTGCTAGCGTCATTGAAAATTGAATTGGATTTTTGGTGTAACAAGTATTGCATATAAAAATTACCACGAACTCTTAAATTCAAACTATCACCCTTCATTCAAATTTTCATTAAATTTACAATTCAAATTTACGAGGATGAATCCAACAAATAGTACTCGAAGCACTCAAATTTTAACCGAAAAAATTGAACTTGACAACAAATTAGATCCTCATATTTCGATTGAAGATCAAATTGCTAGTCGTTTTAAAAATCATAAAGTATATACTGTATCCTCCAAATACGATGATTCTAAAAAAACTGTCATTGAAACTACCTCTTGTCCAAATGGATTTGCCGCCGCTATTCTTCATGCTTATAATTATCATAAACATTTACGTTTAAATCCTGATGATGTTTGGCTTACAATTTCTCAAGGTGTTAGTCATCATATTAATTTTAATCCTGAGAAATTTCGTGATAGATTCGTTCAACATGAAGGACAAAAAGATATTCTAGTTCAAGCCGCTGATATTCTATCTAATAATTACGAAGGTGATTGGCCTGAAGTTGTAAATAGACTTGTTACGAAAACTGATAGTTATGTCGAAAAAATCGATTTAAAGGGTTTGTTGGAATGTAATTTTTCGACAACTACCCCAACCGCCTTAACTGCAAGTCGTATTGTATTATTAGATACTGTTAAGGCTTATTTTAGATATTTAGTTTCTACTCTTTGTGGTATTCCAAAAGTTACTCTCGAAGGAACCCTTGAAGATTGGATGAAACTTCAAGAAAAGGTTACTCATTTAAGAAAATTAAATTTGGAATTAGATTTTTGGTTAGATCGTCTTGAACCTGTCATTTGGAATTTAATTGCTACTTATCGTGGTGAAATTGATCACGATTTTTGGGGTAAAATTGTAAAGATAGACAAAGTATTTGGTTCTGGCGGTGGTACTTTTGTCACTGGATGGTTAATGAATTTCTTTCCTTATGATCGAGCAGGAAGACCTTTAACATCTGATAGTTCAACAAAAATTCAACATATTCCAGATGGCATTGTCGGTGTTCCTTTTCTTTTGGATGGGTTAAAATTAAAATTCATAGCTGGATTTATTGGTGCTAATCAAGAAATTCTTGAAGGTTCTGATGATGAATCTGTTGTTTCTCCCGTGATTGGATGGTCCATTATTGATAATCCAAATGATTCTGAATCTGATGATTAAATTTCAAAATTTATGTAAATTTTTCAAAGAATTAATAAATATAATATCACATATTTTATCGAATAATCAATAAGAGAATTAAAAAATGCCAAATTCCCTAAAATATTTTTAATTTTTCATTAATTTGAAATTTTGATCTCTATCTTGTGAGTCTTTTGAGGCATTAATCGGAACGAAATGTCTTATGAACGAATATAATTATAATGATCGTTAAAAAAAAAAATCAACATTATATAATAGTCCAAGTTTTAAATGCAAAATTATCATTAGTGAGACGAAAACAATTGGAGACAAATTTCGTATTATTGATTTTTTTTTTTTTGCAAAGTGGTTTACCTTGCGCATCAAGTAATTAAACACCAAAATAAAGCATTAATGTAATTCTACATATAGTTGTTAGGCGAAACCTGCTGACGAATCAAGAAACCTAGTTTCATCTTTCATAAACTAAATTTTCAAAAGAAGAAATGACAAAACTGGCTAGAATTTCATTTTTCTTATATTAAAACCGGTTTTTTCGCTTAACATATGAAAATAAATAATATGTACCAGATTTTGCTATGATCTAGCAATTTTTTTATGTAAATAATAAATAATTTTCATTTCTGAACTTTAATACATCAGAAAGTTTCGAAAGGCATCAAATTATATGTTTAAATTATTATTCAACAGACACTATGTAGAGCAATAATTTTTATTAATAAAATTCGTATTATCGCTGAATTTTATGAATCCCACGAATCTTGCATGTTGCCATGGGATTCACGAAATTCATTGATCGCACTAATTCTAAAACAATGATAAAATAATATATATATATATATAATTATCGTATGAGTCTTATACGGTCAATAGAGTATTTAAAGAGATCGCTCAAGCAGCTTTGCCATGGTCCATTATTTTCGACAGCAACGAATTATTATTTTACTTCACGCATTA